TGAAGAGCACCATAGGGAAAAAACCAAACAAAACAAAACAAGAGGAAATGGGTCTTTTGACCTCAAAGCAGGATTTGAATAATGTGCAATAAATAAATCCTGAAGCCACACATTGAATAATGAGAATAAAATGAAACATTGAAGAGCTCATTAACTGAGCATTTTATTTCCTGCATATGGAATAAGACAGAGGACTGTAGAAAAATACATAGATATGATCAAATTTTTCAAGACTATATCATAGTCTTTATCAAAAGATTGATATTTTTGGTCAGCTGAACACAAAAAAAAAGGAAAATAAAGGCTTAAGTTCAGTTCAAAATCAATTTTTTGTTTATTTTTATCACCAAAATAAAAGCATTTTCCTTTCAAGCCACTTAGTTGAATTTTGAAACTAGTTATTACATTGAATTTAAAAATTGTAGTATTTTATTTTCAAAATGTCAAACTGCACTGCTGTGGCTGCTACAAATTTTGAAAGGGATTTTTCAGCTGAAGCCTCCATACGGTTTCCATACATACCTTCAGCTAACCTGAATTTCCATTTTTCATGTAATAAACTATTCAAGTAAAACACTGAAATCACTTCTAGTCTCAGTGTGGGTAGGGAGAGAGGTTGGGTGAAAGCTGAACAACAACCTGAGGCCTGGGAGTTTGAGCTTTAGACTCTGAAAGATCAGTGATTTGGTCTTTTAACTTAGCTTTGGATGTGCAATACAGATGCAACCAATCGTACATGATAGGGGAATACTGGTTAAATTTTATGGCTTTGCAATCCACGACGTTATATTAGATAAGAATCAGCTTTTTCAACTTGAAAAATCTATTTATATTAGCATCTGAAATTTAGCATAAGTATCCTGTTCACCCCCAACATTATATATAGAGAGATTATATGCTTATATAGGCAATTATTCTTACACTTCAAAACAACAGCAGCAGATAGAGATTAATGTCATTTTATGAAATTAATACGGAGTGCTCTGCTACAGGGTTTCCATTGAAAAGTCAGATAGGGAAATGGGCACGCTTTTTGGTCGAGTTATCACATCTCCTGAAAGGACAGTTCTTTGAGTACTGAGTTTAGGTATATTAGAAGGCAAAAATGACAAAGATACACATTAAGATGAACAGGTGGAGGAAGACAAGGCAGTAGAACAAAATGGGGAAAGAAGAGACACCTAGAGCAAGAGATCTTCAATGGCAATAGGGAAAATCATACAAGGCTAAAGAGACAAATAAGAAAGAAAAGAAAAAAATCAGTGCTACTGCAGCATCCATCAGAGAAAGTAATATTCAGCTGAAAATCTCACTCTTAACTGGAGGCTGAGAATGGTAGGATATGCAGTCTGAAATACTATGAAATCAGAATAATCTGTTTTCTTTCCATACAAAGGTATTCAGCTTAGCTTCTAGCTGAAAAGTCCCCTTAGCAATATTCTCAGTAAATACCCCAAGTATGAGATCATTAAATAAAAATTCAGAAATACTTTGTATTCTCATCAGAAACCAAGTAAATCATCTCTGTTCTAATCAATGGCTTTGACTATGGATTCTGAGTGTCCTTTCCACTACCCTCACAGCTGAGCTTACAGATTTTAGTATTTTTTTTATATCATGTTTGTTAGTTTACTATATAATGTGTGAAGAACTGTAATTACATGAAGAAGGCCAACGCTGCAGATTGCAGAGTGGTAAAATTATTATCTTTTAAATAAATACAAACCCTCCTAACCCTACTACCCATCTGACTTCAATCCATGGTACCACTCCAACAATCAATCACCAGGGGCATTGGACACCCATAATTAGATTATAAAATCATAACTATAGTCATTTTACGTCTGCTTGCATAATTACATCAGCATGCTAATATCCTTTTAATGGTCTCTAATGATGTAATAAGAAATAATGGAATTTATTTGACAGCTACATAACCATTAACAAAACATATTAAGCATAACTATTACTTCCATAAAGATTCAGGCTGTATCCAAAAATGACAGCTAACATGTTGGATCTTTTCTTCAGTGCTGAAATATTTCTAATTATGAATTCCCCAAATCTATTCCCACTCATCTGCTTCACAGGGCGAGCAAAGTTTATGTCAATGCAAACTTGACAACAAACCAACTGTAGAAGTGGACTGAACGCTCTGGGAGCCAAGCCCGAGGCTATACTGTGAATTGCAGGCCATCGGTTAAAGTTGGCAGGGTTGTGAAAGAGAGAAGATAAGCTAAGCTGATTACTACCATGCATCAACTAATCAAGAACTAACACAGGAATCCGTAGGAATCCATGGCAAAAGGAATTGTTCAGTTACCAAACTCCAAAGCGCAGGAAAAAAATAAAAATATAGGGAAGACCAAAAGATATTTGCAGACAAAGCTAACTAAAGGTAGTAATGTATTTGTGAAGCAGTCCTTTTAAATTAATTTTTTCAGAGAAAAGGACAAGAAACTCTTAATTGAGAATTTAAAGAACTTTAGAAGAACTCACCACTCACCCTCTCTCCTCAGTTCTTCTTACGCTATTCCTATTTAATGCGATGGCTTTGTGTATACTCTCAAATTAACCCTGTGACTCTCATTAACATGTCTTTACTCTGAAATCTTTCCAATAGCCTAAAAAATTCAGGCCTACACTGTTACTTTCTTACCATTCAGAATTCTTGGAGGGGAAAGAGAGAATTGAGAATTTTACACCAAGCTAATACACAGGTCAGAGTTCAAAGTAGACTGGTATGTCATATTCCCACCCCTTTTATAAATCCTTGGTGTCAGGCTTCTTGGTAGGTTTTTTTCTACATAATTTTGCCATTTTTTTTAAAAATTGAATCCTTAAGAAAAAGAGTACTTCTGGTTGTCAGTGAAAAAAAAATAATCTAAATCACCCGTGATGCCTTAGGCCAAGTAAAAAGGATATTTCCTGAGAGGCCTCATTCTCACACTTTGATATGTCAATGGTGGGTCAGGAATAACCATGACATCAAGTTTTTCCTGAAACCCCTCTCCATGAGGCCACTCAGAAGCTAACCAGAGCCTTCAAATTCATACAGTTTTCCACTGATGGTTTGCAGTGATGACAAAAGAACAAACCCAGAAAGCTTTAATTCTTTGCTTGGCGAGGCCTCTTTCTAAAGCTTCTACTACTGCTATATCTACTGGCCAGCTCCACATTTCTTTAGCATTTAAGGGGTTTAACCTGAGTCAAAGCATCTCATTTTCTTGAACAAAGAAAATTTATTATGGATGAATTCTTCACTAACTTGAGATTTGGGATAACCTTTCACAGATTTATAGATCTTTTAAAAAGGCAAAGACTGATAAAAATGTTGTGTTGATAGACAGAATGCTCAGTCCTGTTTGGAGTTACTATAATTCATAACATGCTTTTAAAGTACTGACCATAGAAGTACTTTTGGTACAGTCATATGACTGCATATTAATAGACACAAAATGACCAGCTTCCCCGATCTCGCACATTAAAAAAAGAAAAGGTTGTTCATAGCCAGCTATATCAATAGAGAGATATTTTTCGTTGGAGAATGAATCTACAGCCTGCCAATTGCAATGTTGTTGTGATTTATCAAATGATAAAAAATAACCAAAAGGCTTTATGCTAACAATTAGAAAGGTAGGTGAAAGTGCTCTTGTAGTGTAGATGAATGAAGTTAATGAAGCAGAACTCGTTGATTCCAGCAGAGAAATTGTTCCATGGGATTACCCCTTTAAATGTGCAGCGGACTTTATCTGCTAGTATTCAAAGTCAAGGGTGCAAATTCTCTTTACAAGGAAGACCATATAATATCGTCATTTTTGTAATTTCAATACTCAGTTTTCAAAAAAATGCTTTTAATAAAACACAAGCAAAAAGACATGCAGCAATACAAAGACTTTTCTAGCAAACAAAATATGGGAATATTTTCCTTCTAAACAACTAAAGCAAATATGCCTGGTATTTTTCAGGTTTCTAAAAAGATTTTCTCACCAGTAGTCTATTTCTCCCTACAAATACGGTAATAGAAAGGGTAGAAATTTTTTTCCAAATAATAAAAACCACTTCCACTAAAGATATGGCATAAAACACAGTATTAAATGATGAATTACCTTCCCTGGAACTGAAGGATAAACAAAAACCTGGTGGCAGCACAAGTAAGGCTGAGAAAGATGATGCAGTCCAGCAGCCTGACTCATGGGCCGAAAACAAGCAGCCCCAAACCCTCCGAAACATAGGCAGGAACTGGATGATATCCAGACATCAGTTATTTTCTGTGCGCCAGGCTGTGACTTCTTTCCAGCAAGCTGTCAAACCCCTCCCACTGCTGACCCTTCTTTTCCATTACTTTTCTATCAAACTTTCTTTATTTTCTTTTTACAAAGGAAGACTTAAGTTTTGTGAAGTAAATGTTCCTACAAAAAATGATTTCAGAAAATCCCCAATCTAAAAATTTGTACCGGACATGGCAATTCATAGCCTCCTAGTCCAAGAGATTAACATGCAGAGCATTCATCAGTATGAATCAACTGAAGAAAAAAAAGCAGCTCATCATAGCTGAACTCCCTGTGACTTGCTAAATGAGTAGCTGACAAAGCGGCACGACCTAGTATGCCATGTGCCAGACTCAAAGCCAGGGACCCAAGTTTCTATCCATCTCTGATGTCATTTTCCCCCTCAGCAATGCTGGGTATAATGACTCTTCACAAGACTTTCTTCATCTAGAAACTGTTAAATAAGGTTGGCAATATTTTTACAGCACTTTGAACAGACTATTTTTCCCTATGGAAGGATAGGAAAAGTTCAGTCTTTATCATTTTTTCAACATAATTTGTTCCTGTGTGTAGGGGATGTTAGAAAGATCATCATGATATTCTTTTTTGTCTCTTGCACACTCTCATTAATTTTGGCATTAAAGAGTAGATATTTCCTTGTAAGACAAACTATTCAAAAATAATGAGGAAAACCAAAAAAATAAAAAGGGGCGAATTCCATGTACGTACTTGACATCATCGAAGGCACTCATCTGCAGCTTCAGGAGATCTGCCACTTCCTTTATTAACTCCAAGCCCTTTTCCACACTCAGGGGGCTGTTGAAAGGGAGCAAGAAAACAGAGCGTTACGAAAATGGAACTCATCAATACTTGAGAGGCTAAAAGTCCCAAAAGAGTTATCACCTTGGCCTCTTAGAGTCTGAAAGCCACCACTAACTGTATTCCTGTCACATAGTGATCGTGATATCAAGGGAATTGGGATCAGGTGCTTCTTCAGGCATGATGAATCACCTGAATTTTCCAGCAATAAGACAAACAATAAGGTGTAAATGGAATTGTTAGGAAGTGTAATGGGCCCATGATGCAGCAACCAGTTCATCTCAGTCCTCAATAAAAAATGTAATAAAGTAAAAGGACAGAAAGAGAGAAAAGGATTGACGAGACAAGGAGGGAAACAAACAATGAAAGTCAAATTGCAGGCTCGGTATCAAATGGACAAGGGAAAAGCATATTTTTAAATTCATTAGTTTTTAAAATGAATCTTCACCCAGTGAAAGGATACAAAATTATTATGGATTTGAAAGTAAACAATGGAGCAAGGCACACAGTCCAGAGGACACTGATTAGATACATAGGATTTAGTCTGGTGTGTGCATGCATTGCTGACAGAGCCCACTTTAAATCTTTTTAACCTTTGTCAATGCCACATTTACATTTTTTAATTTAGAAAACAGGTTACAATCAAGCCTAACACAGGACGACTGCTATCATTTAAAAAAGCACTTATCTAGATGCAAAATTTATATTTGCAAAAATTTCAGGTTATTGGAGTTGTTACAACTCTAAAGATGCATTAAGAACATTCTGTTCCTAAAATACAGATCATACCTTGTTTAGTTGTTGTTCAGTACTGCCGAACCAAGTACGAAAGTATTAAGAAAGTAAAAGATAAGGAAAAGATATAACAATGTCCAGTGAGAACAACAGATACAACATTCCCTGTCTAAATCATGATTATAGAATTATTCTCAACATTGTTAAAGCCCCAAAGATCATAAAATTAAACCTTACAAGCTTGATACTTATCTAACTTATGCCACAGTAAATCAGAAACAACTTTGATGAGACTAATCCAGGGGAAAAAGGTTCTGTGTTTTTTCCTTCAAGGATTTATAACAAGTAGGAGGTGTCAAAAAATGTACAATTAGACATGATCTTTTCAACTGGACTAAGGGGAAAAAAAGGTTTTTTCAAAGCTCTGCACCTATGTTATTATTTCTGCTTCACAGTGAAAGTTTTTGAATCTAATTTTATATCACAGTAATCATTGCCACAATTTTATTTATTGTCTGCAATGAACACTGTTTATTCATTTATTTATTTATTTATTTACTTATTGCACTGGGTTCTGCATACACTGCCCTAAGGGCACCTCTATTTAAATAATGGGATGTCTCATGTGGATCTCGGTTAGGACAGAATTGCTCAGCCTCCTTTCATGCTACTAGCCCAAAATGCTCAAGAGACCTCCTGTCACACAAGCAGAGGTAGCCCCTCAAGGCACCAGATAAATTTAGTTTTTCTAGATGTCTAAGACAGAAATGTTCTTGTGTGAAAGTAACAAAAGAACCTGATTGTTTCTGTAAGGAAAAAAATGTACTATAGATTATTCATAAAACCCTTATATTTCAAGGACTGACAGTGGGTAGAAACATGATTATTCCCATCACTATGAATGCAGATTGTCATAGTGACTCAGGGGCTTATGTGTTAATTAAATCTTTTCTCCCAAAGATGTTGGCTTAAATTTTATGGAAATGACTGGTGTCTGCAAGTGGGCTTTTACTGTAATAGCAAGTCTACACAGCAGTGCAGGCAAAGTCTGCTGTGTACATTGGTGTCTTTTTTTTCACCAGGGGACTCTCATTTGTAAAAGCTCAACCTCCTACTCCCTGCTTACTCCTCCTCCCCTGAAAAGGCATTCCCCAGCTTCAAAAACAAGGTATGCTGCTACAAGCCAATGTAGCAACAGTAATGGGAGATGTGATCATGGCATTTGAATCCTACAACCCAGCAAGAATGCTGGAGAGAAAATGGTGCTGGAAGGCCATTCTTTTCCAAGCCTGAGCATCCAGGAGCAGTCTTAGTAACTCTCATCCTATACCAGACTAAAACACATACATAGGTTCACAAAATCACATGCAGTTTGTTAGGCTAAGAAATTGTCATTCATAATGGCACAGGAAAGCTGCGGAACCAGTACTCTTTGGTATCAGTACTATTATTGATCACACTACCACATTTGAGGATTCACATTAAGAATGATTAATTTATATCACGATATTCTCCAGTGCAATTTTTCTGACTTCTTAACAATTGATACATACTAGTACTGTCTATTACAGTTCTGTTACAGTTGTATTGTAGGAGAGTTGAATATTCAAAACCTTCCTCTAAAAACGCCAGAACGTTATTCTCCACACCCTATTTCTGCTTTGCTTTTGTTTAGTGTTGCATTTTGCTCAATGTTGCAGGGTTTGTGCAGTGATTGCCTTTAGCTTTGTTTACACAGAGAGAATACACCATTCCCACCAGCACAGCATTAAGCAAACTAGCCTACCTTGCAACAGCACAGTACACTGACATCACCCATCTGATTTCAGGTTTATACAAGGACTGTTACTAGAAGACAACTTGCAAACATCACCTATCCTCCCGCCCGTGGTGCTCCCACACGTCCCCAGTGCAAGCACACAGTACTTGTGGAACAGCCACTATTTGAGATCTTTCACATACTATACTATACTTGGGTTTTGGCTTGCTTGATTCAGTCCTACAGGGAAAGAAGTCTCTGTATTATAGAGTGGGGTTTTTCTTATGAATATGATTCATCTATTGATTGTGAGGGTTCAACAACTGTGGAATTAATTCAAGGGAAAGTGTTACAGAAACCAAGAAAGAAAGACAAAAAATGGTTGTTCAGGTAAGGAACAAATAGTGAGATACTCCAGACGGAAATTGTAATAGTAGAAAAAAGACTCTTTAGACAACCCTGACAATGAAACTATTTTATCAAGGCCAAAGACTTGGAGAAAAGCTAAGGGTGGGGAGAGCATTCATACTACTTTGTCCGAACTGTTAAGATGGTCATTTCAGTTCCCTATAGTGGGGGAGGAGAGAGGGAAACCTCTTTTTAGTGACAGGCCTTGGGGACACTCGGAGCAGCACGGCACAGAGTGAGTCTCTGGGCTATGGCCCCTCAGTTTCCAGACATGCTACGACACAGGTCCAACTCATACGCATCTTCTTTTGGGAGCCTGTGATAACATATTTCAGTACACCATTGCAGTACACCAGTAATGGTAAACCCTTAAAAGAGAAATCACAACTTACATAGGCCTCAGAGATACAAAGCATATACTGGAAAAAAACCAGAAGAAGCAAAAGGCCTACCCATGGATGCTATTTATGCTTTGCAAGTTCTCTTGAGGCTGGCTAACCCTTCCTATGTCAAAGAAAATTAATGACTCTTGCAGTGTCTTTAACAGTCCTTCTTGATTTTACCACTACTTTTCTTGATTGCCTTGAAGGTTTCTGATCACCTTTGATCTAAATTTTGGCCTTGGAAAGAATAAACTGTTGGATGGCATAGCACCTTTTTGCAGATGACATAGGTGTTGCCCGCTGAGATCTTGAGACAGTGGTTACTTTGGGTTTCCTATCTTTGCTCTCATTTCACTTGCTGTAGATTTCTCTTTTGCATCTTCTTTCAAGTTAACTGTGCTAAGATACGATAATAGCCAAACCAAAATGTGATACATCTCACAGTTCAAAACAATCCTTTTGAGGTCCTTTTTAGGTTTCCATCTCCAGTTCTCTACAGCTTGGAAGATGAAAAGAGAGAAAGAAAATATGGAAAATTCATGTATAACTAACTAGCTAACTTCCATTGCTTTATCTTCTAATGCCATCTCTGTTTGTGAGTGCTAGCCTAAATATTATTTTTCAGTTGACAGATTCAGACCCTACTGAACCAGTAGCAGAACTCTGTCTCTCTCAGATGCCAATCACTATCTCATATTATTTGTAGAATATAGTTTGTTTGACAGGTTAATGACAATGAAGAAATAAATGGGGAATGAAATATAAATATTTCCTTTGGGGTTTATGTAGATACATATAGTTTTAAAGTCTGTCAATGTCATCTGCAAAATATTTCACGGCTCCTTTTGTTTAATCTCACTTTTCAGGGCACAGCTCTTGCACTAAACTCATTATACCTGCTGGAGCATATGGCTTATATCTCTGCTAAAAATAGCCAATGTTATATGTTAGTATTACATTATCCCCGCAGATGAAAGGACTCCCCAGCTCAGTGCAAGAATCTGATGTCATGATTTAACATCATGACATAACCATGAAAACTTCCCTATCCATTTTAACCATGTGAAAAATAAATAATCTAATCCATACCTACTTGTCTGAGCTAAAATAATCATGAGCCAATCAGCTCCCTATAACTTCATCAAGAGTTTTGTCTAACAACAACAACAAAAAAGCAGATCTAGGTTATAAAGCTGTATTATTTAGAAATGAATCTGAAATAAAAGTACAGGAATAAATATCTCTTAACTTCATTGTGAGCTGCTAAGCACTTCTGAAAATTAGCATAATCCATTTAAATGCTCAGGAGTGGATTTGGGAGCCCAACTTTATGTAATTGTTTGTTAAAATGTTTCCACAAAGTGTACTGGATGTTGAATACAGGAAAATTAGATTGCCTGGTGAAAATAACATTCTGTATCTTCCAATATCTAAATCCTTCCCAGTGAGGGAGCTGAAAACAGAAATATTTTAACAGTCCACTTACAGAGGTAATTTAAATAATAGAACACTGGATTATAGTCTCCCTCTGCTATTGTCTATTAAAGATTTCACTTTTCATTTGCACAATTTACAAGAAAAGTACAGTGATGAGGAGTCATTTCTAAAATCTGGTCCCAGAAAGTTGGCACAACTTAGAACAATCCCATTAAGTGATTTTCTTCTCAGTCACTGCTACAAAATGTATAGAATTTACTAGCCTTTTTTTTTTA